GCACAGGATCGGGAACGTTGGAAGCACTGTCTGACGCGTCTGCCTCCGCGACCCGAAAGCAGAAGCGGCGGTGGAAGATGAAGATGATGAAGATGAGGATGTAAATGACCCTCACTTGTGGCGTAAATCAGTATATGCATATGTCCGATTTGTAAGTTAAGGAATGTATGGTTTAAAATTTTTGTCTCATTGTCTGTGTGTTCCTCTTAGATGACATAGACGTTAATTAACTTCAATTAATTAATCTTTAATGAACTTCCGTTTAAATCTTTCTGATGCATAAACGGTCAACACTCTGTATAGATTCTGATGACGATGCCGAAACTGCTAGCAGTAAATGTTTCAAATCACTGAATGACGACTTCGACAGTCATTACGGTCTGTATTTGAGCACCGTCAGCGGCATTCCAGACGAATACAATGGTCGATTCCTGGCTTTAGATATCGAGGGTACGTGTACGATTGTTTTTTAACTAAACGGTAATGTTTCTTTTGGTAAATTGAAATTTAGACATTCTCTCTGCACATTCAGAGGAACTGGAAGAATCAGCACAGGTGAGTATTGATGCATAATTGGACCAGTGAAATAACTGAAATTTAATAATGCTTGAAGGCAGTGGAATATTAACTTCATTAAAAAGGGAAAAATAAATAACTAGCATTTATATGAAACAAGGATGCATTAATTTTCATCATTAGCAGCAGCTTTTTTCGATTCACAGGTGGATAAACGCTTCTCCAACACTGGCACTAACTTCTGCTTTGAGAAACATCGTAAAACGCGATTTATGAATGCGTAACGCGAAAAAATAATCAATTGGATGATTGACAAAGACCAACGTTTCGGCTCATGTCTCACGAGCCTACTTCAAGGAGAAGGTTGGTAGAATTTCAGTTTGTTTTTTTCTTATCCGGATAGCAGCGATTGGTAGATTTAGAGCATGAAAACAGGCTTTTGGTCTATGATGCTGATTAAGTTGTTTCTTTCTGATAGGGGCGTCCAGGCTCGTCTACTCCGCCAAGAGTTATTTTCCTTTGTCGTTGTTGAGATTGTCGCGCAACTTCCTTGACATGCCTATTCAGGCACTGAATTTCTTCAGTGATGACGGCACATTCTGACACTCGAGAGGTATGTCCTTATTTAGTCGCACGCTGCACATTCCCAGGGATATTTTTCCACTGTTCGTTGGCTTTGCAGGAGGCGACGTTTTGTTTTTTTGCTTCGTTATCATGTGTCGTCACACTCGTCCACGATCATGTATCTTTTCCAGGTTAACAAATGATTATTTGTTCTTTGAATGATTGTGATCCATGTTTTTTGTATGTTTTCCTCAGTTACACGGTTATTTATAAATCCACCATAGAGTTGTTTTTTTCCATAATTGCTTATTAATGCGTTAAGTTTATTAGAGCTTTTATATACAGCGTTAGTATGATATTTAGTGCTTAAGTAATCTTTGTAATTTTTCACTGAAGCTTTTACCATGAGGTAGAATTAAGTCAGGTTTATTATTTATTATATTTTTTTGACGTTATTGGTGTCGCAATTTGATCTGAACTAAGTTATTTTACAGTTTATGATATTATTGACGAATCTGATTGATTAACAAGCAGTCAAAGCCCAATATTGAGCGTCAGGTGCGGTCAGTGATCAGTGTTACGTTTCGGTGTTTGGTTTAATCTTACGTTTCGGCGAAGTGTGTTTAAGTATTTTCTCTATGCATTAGTTAATAGGTGAAAGGCTGTCATCAACAAACAAAAGGCCACACAGATATACCATATAAACTTAAAGGAGGAACGTTTAACAGTGACTTTAATAAGCGTTAAGATCAAAATCTGAACGGCTTTTTAGGTGCTTCCTTTATAAGTATTATGTTGCTTTTCTCAGCGGTTTTCTCTGAAGTAATTTCACTTTAGTTACCCATTGACGTGGAGATTTGTAACAGTAATTGTTTAGAGGCTATGGAAGCTTCGATTTTTCTTCATTGATGTAGACATATGAATTGCTTCATTCATTCATTTCCAATTCATCACGTCTCCAACTTCTGATTTGTCGATATTCTCCTTTTTTGATTTTTTTTATCTGTAGTAGTGGTTCCAAGGTTCCAACATAACAGAAGGTTATACTATTATTGAGGTGAAACGGTGAAGCAAGTTGGTAAGACTAGGCACATCGACACCGTTATTTTCAACGATGGCGCAATCGAGTCAGTTAGTGAGAGGTAGCAGGAGCACAAAGAGTTAGTAGTTTGCCTTGAACTTTACAGGTTCCGGGTTTTTGTTCCCAGACGCGGTGTAATTTTTTCTTTTTAACTGCCAGCTTCCTTGAGCAAGGATTTCATCCCACTCTGCTCCGATTCAGCTGGCCGGAAAACATATAGGAGGTCGTTGACCTACCAATAATATGGGCAGCATAGTGTTTGGTGTTGTCATTCGAAAGCTTGCGAGTCGTTGGTTACGTTGGCTGATACCTCCGCTGTCCAGCAATCGTAAACTTGACTTCTCTTATAGTTGACCGCAAATTCGGCACAAGGTGCAAAGATGAATGTTAAAAAAGAAGTGGAGGGTTTTTTGGGGTTTCCTTCATTTAATCTGAATAGATGATTATTTGAGATGCCAAAATTTCGTGTGTAAGGAAAGTATTGAGGAAAGTAGTGCATAGTTGTTTTCGCATTTTAAAATAGCATCCGGCCGCACTAATCTGCATGATAAAGGGATCTGCAGTTTCGGCAATCAACAACCACGTGAATAAATCACAATTAATTTAAAGTAACGGCTTAGCAGTACGTTTAGTTTAATCGTGCATTTTGCATAGCGAATAAACATTTTAACTTGTTCCTTATCTTACTTCAGTTCAATTACATGATCGACATCCCGTGGCTGATTTCAAAATATCCGGAGAAATGTCGAAAGAAACCGCTTTTGATCGTAACAGGCGTTACCGGCTCCGAATGGTCATTGTTCATGCAGGAGGCACTAGCTTTCAACAACATCACTGTTACGAAAGCTCGACTACAAATATCCTATGGAACTCATCATACGAAAATGATGCTGTTGAAGTGCCGTACGGGTCTTCGAGTCGTTATTCATACAGCTAATTTGATCGAACAGGACTGGTGTCAGAAAACGCAGGGGTGAGCAACTAACATCGTTTGCATATTTGTAGGTTCGTAACGGTGCGTTTCAATCCGTTATTGTCGTTGAAACGAGCAAGCTGCGTAGGTGTTACACGATAAAAATATTTTTGGAAGCACCGCCTTCATCGGCTTAACTGATTTTTTTACCACAGTACAGGGTCGCATATGACTGTCGCTTACGTTGTTTCATGTTTGTGGGACAAACACGGTAGCGTTTAGAAATTGAGGTTTTATTGGCATTCGATGAATGAGTATAGTCTGGTCATTAGAAAATTATACTCTATAGTAGTGACAAGTATTCTCTCGTGGTGCTGTTCGCGAATGGAAGGCAACTGTTGCAGTAGGAACTTTGTATTGTGTCAGAAGTGTTTCAACATGTATCCTGTACTAGTGCAGAAGTCCTCTTGTGAGTTTTTGCATGTTCGTCTAATAGGACACTGAACAAGAATAGTGGATTGTTTTTCAGTGCTCCCAGACAAGTTTGTTTAGAAGAAAAGCTCTTTCTGACTGCAAACTGAGAAGGAAAGATCACCAAACATAACTGTAAGAAGTTTTTTTGTTTTTGATCACGAGGTAGACGTCATCGCTTACAGATTCACGTCACGTTTAGTAGACCCGTAGGAAATACATTGCTGAATATTATTTTTTTTGATCTGAATCACCAGATTCAGCTGTTTCAGACTGCCTCTTGTGTTAATCGTGCGATAGTTTCGAAATACATGTTCAAGCGAATATTTTGTGGCGAATTTCTCCTCACCATTTTATGTTCTTGAAAGGCAAATGTGTAGACAGCTATTTTATTGTTTGGCTTTAAAGTATGCGCCTGGAAATTAACTAAAATCATCAAATTTTTCAGTTATTCTGTTTTATAATCTTGGTCTTGCAGCATTTCAACTCATCGTTGTGATAATTAAAATTCTAACTCCAGTGCCGTAAAATATTCATTTTTGTTCTTCATTTATTCACGCTTTCATTCATTCATTGCGAGAAGAGCGCAAGTTCGTTATTCTCTATGATATCCGGTTTTGTTAATAAACCCAGTTTGACTATTTGGTAGAACTCAAGCCACTATCTGTCTGACCTTCACACTGAAGTTATAGAAGAGGTACCGGACCATCTGTTTCTTCGGAATTGGCTGCCGAGGGACGAATGATAGAGTTACGAGACTCGGTGCATTGATTTAGCTGAGATCATTAAATTATTCAGGCTATGAAAGGACAAAAATGTTGATAACAGCATCAAACTGTTGATATACAGGGGTTGTGGTCGGAACATCTTTTTCCATGGCCTGGAGAACGGCAGTAATCAACAAGGCTAAAAACAAAAACTGAAAACGACGGAAAATGAAGAGTTTAAAACCAATATTAAGAGTCAAGTGGTAGGACATGGTGTCAAAGCTGTTGAAATTTTAGCAGCCACAAGAAGAATTTGGTTGTTCTGACCAACTGTAGTAAAAATCACATTATAAGCCGAAAGTTTTTCTATGCGTATAATCATTGTTTCAAAGAAAGACGCATTTTGGTTATTATCAGTTGCAGTAGTGAAAAGAAAGATCGTCGGTTAGCCAAATTTGTTTTCACCATTGGGTGGAGGTGGTCGTCTGTTCCTGTGGTTCATCCAAAACTCTGAATCATGTTTCGCCCACTTGCGTTGCAGGATTAGGGAAGGACTTTATTTATGATATTTTGAGGAAACTTTGGAAAACAGCAATTTATGCATTCATTCATTTTAGACTTATGTGATTTTGTATTCTTCATGCATGGCTTTTTAATGGAATATTTTCTTTATATGTGGCTGATGCACTTATTCGCAAATCAAATTGAAGAAAAAGAATGTGACTGACGAAAACTGTTAATTGTTTTATGGTTGCTGTCATTTAGATCTAGAAGTTAAATCTTACAGAAACACAAAACCTGATCTTATGGGTTTACAAGCATGCCACCAGTTATTGATTCCACCGCATAATCCATTTCAGTTTTTGATACCGGATTGAATCAGCTTAAGCGCCGTCCCCTTGCTTCTGTTAGTCTGAAGGACCATTTATTCAGGCCATGGTATTTGAGTATCTGCAGTGCACGGATCCTGAACCGCATCACTCTGTAATACCGAGCAAAGACCTGTCGGACACCTGCAAATATGCCACGATGCGTAACCATATATTCAGAGAAATAAAACCCGATCTTATGGGTTTTCTAGCATATCCATAGTTAAATGTAAAATCTTACTAATCCGATTGTTAGCCGTATCCAAAGTTTCGCTTATGTCAAAATGTGAGGAGCATACGAATTGTACATTTTTATGTTTCTTGCTGCACTCAAAAGAATCATATTTTGATACTTTCCCTACTTGGTCTATTCCCTGTCAGTTTCCAAAGTAATTGCATAGATGAAGTCTAGTTTATTTACAGTGGCTATTGGTATCATGCCTGACTTTTGAGCATAGCAGCAATAGATATTTGTTACTCTGATTATCAACGCTTGTGTTTTTTACCTATGCATTTTCTATCATTACAGTGTTTGTAATAGACTATGTTCACTTTCACTGTTGAGTGCATTCGTTGGAAGTTTGTGGTAAATGTTTGCGTCTCTGCTATCTCAATCAGGTCCATTTGGCTGAGGACCATTAACCTGTTTTTTGCTGACATAAAAAACCAGTGGTAAATTTATTACCTGTGAGCAATGCAAAATATGATACTTTGTCTTGGTCATTGTGAAATGTACAAGATTTTCAGTGCTCTCCGAGAGGAGTTGATCCGCTTGACTGCTACAGTAATCAAGAAAAGGTGTAATGGTAAATTAACTTTAAAGAACGAACAAATGCTGCAGTCACGCTTGGCATTTAAACATTTGGATATGGTTTCAGTCGATTGTAATGTGATAAATTTTTAATCTTCATCTTCATCCTCCATCGCCGCTTCTCCTTTCGGGTCGCGGAGGCAGACACGTCAGACAGTGCTTCCAACGTTCCCGATCC